CTGGCGGTCCCTGGCCGATCCGATCGACGGTCGAGCTATCCCGATCCGGTCCGGTTCACGACCCAACAGTCCCGGTCAACGATCTGGTAGCTCTTGCCCGGTCTGGTTCAGTCCACGACCCGACGGTCCCTGTCCGGTCTGGTTCAGTCCACGACCCGACGGTCCGTGTCCGGTCCGGTCCTTAACCCGGCGGCCCCTGTCCTATCTTGTCCATGACCCGGTGGTCGTGATTTAAAAAGGCGCTTACAGGGCGGGTTTTGAGGCGCGCCTCGAGTTGAGACGTGTAGAGAAGGTATCAGGACTTAGGTTTTTTTCACATGTCAAGAGGCTTGTGCCTCAAAAGTTGAGGCGTACGCCTTGAGGCATTTTTTGAGGCGTGGGTTCCTTAGTTTGTATATTTTTAATAGGCTGTGACTTAAGAAACCCCTCGATTAATTTAAGTAATATTTTATAAAAGGCCCATACATGAAACATGTACCCATAGTCCAAACTAAACCCCTAACAGAAGTGTTCATACTCCTTCAGGAATTGGTCAAGGTTTTACAAGATGAAAGATGGAATCTTAAATTAAGACCCCTAACCAATGAGGAAAATATTTTGGTTGATTATTTGCCATCTGATGATGTATGGCTTGTGTTTATACTTGTGTTTGTGTTTGATACTTTAGGGACTTATAATTATCCATTTCTTTAGTTGTTTATTATTAGTTTAACTATTATATGTTTAATCTACTGATATATTTTGAGGCTTACGCCTCAATACGCCTTGAGGCTTGCTTACGCCTTGCCTCTCCGGAACAAATCGCCTCGATACCCGAACTTGCCGTTTTAAACCTTGCTGATGGCACCTGTCTGGTCCAGTCGATGACCCGACGGTCCCTGTTCGGTTCGATTCACGACCAGGCGGTAATTGTTCGGTCTGGTTGATGGTCGAACAGTCTTGGTCCAATCTGGTCTGGTCAATGACTCGGCAATCCCCGTCCAGTCCGGTCAAAGACACGGTGGTCCCTGTCTTGTCTGGTCAACCACTCGACGGTTCTCGTCCTGTTCGGTCAACCACCCGGTCAATGACCCCACGTTCTGTGTTCGGTTCGATCGACGACTGGGCAATCCCGGGTCAGTCCCTTTCAACAGCCCTGTCTGGGCCGATCACTGTCTCGGCGGTTCAGTCTCAGTGTTTTGAAATCATTTTTTAAATTTAAGAGTTATAAAAGAACTGTTGAGTTGTCAACCAATAGGGAATGAGAAAAGAATTCGTCAAACTAACCATTGAGATTGATCGGGACCAGCTGGTATCGGTCCCGACTTTCCTATACGTGGGACCTTGTACCTTACTTGGGTTGTACCAGGTTCGGTTCCGGACTGGGATCGTACTTTCGGTCTTCTGGTTGATCACAGAACCGGGTGAATTTTTTTATGAGCATGTTTTTCAGATTTGAAAGTGGAAAACTAAAAAATGAAAACAGAAAATTGGAGAACAGAAAACAAATATAGAAAACTGGAAAATATCTTTGTTAGTAAATAGGCCCTATATTTTCTTGCGTGATCAGGCCCTCAATGTCGTATTTGGTCTCGACCTTGACAGATTGATCAACATACAAACCTCTCCTCCCACTAAAATAAATGAAGAAGCATATTTTCTTTGGTGTCAACAGAAGTGGCTCCTTTGTCATGTTCTTGTCGTGGGCCTGGTTCCGGTAACTAAGGCACACATTCATGCTTCTCAGGTAGGGATCAATCTGTTAAGGAATATTTTCATGCTCTTCCATCACTAGATCAATAATTGAGCCTGACAGGTCATCCCGTCTCATCAGATGAATTCAAGATCAAGTTTTGTAACGTATCAAACCTAAATTTAAATTTCTTACTTTTCAGTTGAGCAGAGTCTATGAATATGAATAACTTCACTCTCTTCTCGTCAAACTTGAAGACAATTTCATCGTGAGGAGAAAGAGGGGTCTCTAGGACTATCACCATTTTGAGGAGTCAAGCAACGAAGTATCTTCTTAAAAGTGCTTCTTTAAAACTACTCTTTCAAGGAAGAGAAACATATATTAGAGTATTTGGGAGAGAGTGCAAAAGTACTTCTAAGTGCTCCAAATTGCTCTTAGAAGCAGTTTTTTTAGAAGGTGAGAGACATCAGCTTCTGAAAAATTAATCCTGATTCAACTACTGCTTTTAAAAAGAAGTAGAAGCAGAATCAATTTCAAACACCCTGAAATGGGGCAGGCATAATGGAGGGAAAAAATAAAAGCAATATATTAAGACAAACGAGGATCTCAACTGCCCGCATAGCTCATAATCCAGTCCAACATGATCGGATCAAGCATATTGATATTGACTGACACTTCATTAAAGAAAAGGTTGAAGGAGGTCTGATTGAACTAAACTACACTCCCTCAGAGGATCAAGTTGCACAGTCCTAGGTTTCAGACCTAGGTCTTAGAGTCTTATAGTCAAGTTAGGCATGAAGAATATCTACAAACCTAGCTTGAGGGGGGACTGTTGATAAAATGAAGAGACATCGTTAGTCTAGGAATTACTTTCATTATTATTACTGTAAATATGAATCTTTAGTGCTTCAGGTTGTAATTAATATTTGTTGTCTTTTCGGTTTGTATTCGTTTATGTTTGGTATTCAGGCAGTCACTTAGGGTACTAAATAAACATTTTCAATATTTAGTCAGTATATATATAGGTATGTACTTCTTGTAAAAGATAATTCAATTCATAATTATATACAGAAAAAACTTCATTATTATTACTACTTCCTCAATCTCAGTTTAAGAATCTCAATAACTATTCAAATACATAACTTAACTCCATTTTGAACTCTAATTTTATATAAAATCTTTATCATTTTTAATTCAGTTTTTGTGATTAAATAGAAGTTCATGTCTGTTAGATATACATCTTTGTAATAGACTAGAAGCCTTATTTTGTAATAGTCTATAGCATAGTGCCAGTTAGTGCCTCGGTTAGTTGTTAAGTCTGTTGACTCAACTAACCCTATAAATACTTGTATTCCAATACAGTTGTGAATAAGATAATTCTGTTAGCATTCAATACTCTCTCTCTCTCTCCCTCTCTCTCCCTCTCTCTTTCTAATATGGTATCAGAACTTTAGCTCAATCCATCAATGGCGATCACAGATAATACATCCAACTCTGCCTCTACTACTGCAACCTCCACAAATTCCACATCTCTGGTAACAACTTCATCTTCTAAAAACACCATGTAGAATCCGTTGTTCGAGCACATAAACTTTTTTCAGTTTATCGTCAAACCAGAGATTCCAAAGCAATTCATCTCTAGCGAAGATGAAGCAGCAGGAATGGTGAACGAAGTGTATGTTGCCTGGGAGCAACAAGATCAAATGTTGTTTTTGTGGCTACTAGTGTCGCTTTCTGAAGCATTTCACGCTCAAATCCGAGTTATACAACACTGTGAAAGGTGATCGTTCCATCTCCGAGTACCTCCTTCGCAATTATGTGATCCTCGAAGGCCTACCTGAGGAATATGAATCTCTGGCTTCATCCATATCTTCTCGTAACATTCTCGATCCTTCAACTTTGTCTGAAGTAGAGTCTCTTTTATCTGCCAACGAGATACAACTACAAAAACTTCGTGAAACATCTCAACAGAATGTTGCTCGTTTGGAGGTTTCAGCTCCAAATACTCATTCAGCCTATGAAAATACCTCTAACCATGCTTCGCTTCAGGTTGCTCAATTCAACAACACTGGTGGTAACAATTCTCACAGGGGAAGAGGTCGTGGAGGCTTTACACGAGGAAGATGTGGTAGATTCGGTGGACGAAATCCTATCATATGCCAAGTTTGTGTAAAAACAGGTCATCATGCACTCATCTGCTATCACCGCTACAATCCTTCATATGCAGCTTCGAATTCTTCATCCTCGAACTCCTGGAATTCATATTCAGCTTATCCACACTCCTCTAATCCTTATCCATAAAGACCTCCTAATTATCCATCATCTACTGCACCACAACATTTTAACTGGGATCAGACACCACAACACTCTTATAATCCATCATCTACTGCTGCACCACATCATCCTACTACTGCTTGGAGCTGTGCAAACACTTCTATTCTAGCACCTCCTCCACAGTCTCAAACTTGGTTTCCTGATTTTGGAGCTACTCAAAATGTCACTTAAGATCCATTTAACCTTCAGCACAGTGGCCTGTTACCACAACTGATAAGCTCTTTATGGGCAACGATCAAGGTTTGGACATCATGTCTATTGGTTTTACTTCCTTTCCCTCCCCTTATCAGTCCACTATTTCTCTTTCCCTCAAAAACATTCTCCAGGTTCCTTCAATAACTAAAAACCTAATCAGTGTTAGTTAATTTGCAAGGGATAACAATGTCTTTTTTGAGTTCTATCCTTATGATTGCTTTGTGAAATCTCGAGTTTCTAATCAAGTTCTGTTACATGGCACTCTGGGAGAAGATGATCTTTATAGGTTCAAGTCTTTTCCTGTCCTTGGTTTACATCAGCCTACTGCAACAACCAGTCTACCTTCTATTTATCTCCACAAAATACTAAGTCCAGTGTCTTGTTGTCTACATGTAATAATGCTAAGTCTTGTAGTCCTTCTCACTCATGTAGAATGACTTCTGCATAAAGAACAATTATATAGACTAAATAACAAGCGCATTATTGATCATTGTGTGTGAAAGAGAGAAAATTTGAAATTTCAGCTGCAGAGCCTACAATGTTTCTAGAATATGTTGACTATTGCAATGTTTTCTAAGGATTCAAAGAGTCTAGCTTATTAACTCTCATTTAATATCCCCTGGGATTTACAAGTTGTCTATAAAGCCTACATTTTTCCATTAAGCCTACAAAAAGGTAGACTGACAAATCTTTGATGTTACCAAATTGACATAATTGATCTGAAACCTAGGATAACTGGAATCGTTGCTTGGTAAAATTTGTTCTTTTCTTTCAGATGAACCAGACACCAATTACAAACCTTTTCCGACACCTTCAAGTAAAAGTTCAGCACACTCCAAAGCTGGCTCATGAACATTCTCAGGAAACATTACATGCCCATATCTAGAGGTAGCATAACCTATGTCTCTTGCAAGCTCAACCTGAAACACCTAAACAAAATCAGCCTTACAAATCATAGAGAACAAGTTATACAAAGTTCAAAACATAATGAAATAATATCAGAGAAACATATGGTCTAATACGAAAAAATGATTCCACATTGCAAGCAATACAATAACAATCTCATTCAAAGACAAATAGGTTCACTTATGATAGGAACCTAGGTTGAAGAGAATAGCGGCGGCGGCAGTGGTGGTAATAATAATAACAATAATAACAATAATAACAATAATAACAATAATAACAATAATAACAATAATAACAATAATAACAATAATAACAATAATAACAATAATAACAATAATAACAATAATAACAATAATAACAATAATAACAATAATAACAATAATAACAATAATAACAATAATAACAATAATAACAATAATAACAATAATAACAATAATAACAATAATAATAATAATAATAATAATAATAATAATAATAATAATAATAATAATAATATTAATAATAATAATAATATTAATAATAATAATAATAGTGTGATATTGTATGAATAAGGGTTCTTGACCATGTCAGAAAATATGGGCCGGCCGTTAAGAATATAATATTATAATTACTATTCCGTATAAGAGTGGGAAGGAGGAAATAAGGGAGTTGGGCAGAACTTCAGTTGGAAGTTGGCTGGGAGAGTGAGGCCTTTCGAAGAGTCTCAATATATTTCTTCTATTTCTATTCTCAATATAATTACTGTTTCCTCCATTGTCATTTTCTTAAGGAGTTTACTGTGTTATTATCTGAATTTCATACTTAATATACATAAAATCTCATATTGTGTATCTGGATTTTGGTGTTCTCTATCAACTTACATCAATATTTAAAAAATAATTTCAGTTATACAAATGAAAGTAAGATCCAGTTGGTGAGCTTACCATGGATTGCCTGCTATTTCTGCACATTTTTTTGGCAAATTTTCTAAGTTATATTTAAGTAGGTGCAAAAGGGTTCAGAGTTTCCGTGGCAACATTCCATGAAGGGCATCAAAGGTAAAATTTTGTCTACTATCATTTGTGAGTAAATTTATAGAATTAAATACTTCGAGAAAACTTATATAAACTACAAATTCCATGTTAAAACCCCGACATAGTGGGGATAAAGGTAGTGGTTACAATGATGGGGATGGTGGTAATGCTCAGAACTTAAGATTAACACTACTGACCTGCAAACTAGCATCAGGTCCCTGTGTCCACCAACTTGCACAAGCATCAAATTGTGGAATAATAGAATCAACATTCTTAACCTACAGGAAATTCAAAGAAACAAATAAGCATTAAATGTCAGCAACCTACTGTCTGAAGAAGTGACATTTCAGCAAGCGAATAAATTACCAAACTCAAAAACTGATTGTGTACGATAATGTAAATCATTGATCGGTTTACCAAATATCTAGATGTGTTAGTCAGTCCAAAATCAAAACTAAAATTCACAAATATATAAACTATTCCCAATGTTTGATTGTTGTACTAGTGAGTCATGACATTTCATTTTTTCCTCACAAAATGATCAGTTATGTATGTCTCCACCCATATTCACCCCACAAACCAAAGCTAAAATTTATCTTTATGCTAACATGATGCCGAATGAGGACATAGGTGCATTGGTGTCAGAAGGTGAAAAGATAATACATTTAGTAACTCAACTTTCTACACCTATAATGTGTTGACCAAATATTGTCAATCAGTAGCCTTTTAGGGTATGTATGTTCTTAAAAGCTTCGGCAATGTACAAAGGAAAAAAAGGATGTTTCAAAGGGGAATGAAGAGGTTCTGAAGGTTTCCGAACCGCAGGCAGTCAGATAGGGATCTTCCGGGGGTGAAGCAGCAGGATTCAGTTGTGGGTTCTGCTATGGCTTCAATAATGGTATAGCATCAATAAAGATATTAGAGGATTTGTACTCCTGTTTGGCCATTAACAACAAGGAAGATGGTGATAGGAACCCACTTATTAGACTAATAATAGAAGTAATAATAATAATATTAGTAATAAGGGTCTGTGAGTTTGCTAGTATAAATAGACGGGAAGGGGGAGTAATAAGGAGGCTTTTGGGACTTTTGGACTGGGACTGGGAAAGATTAGAGAGTTATTCTCTTCTCTTTTGGGAGGCTTCGGCCTTTGTTTCTGTTTCTCTCTGTAACCGATCTTCTTCATCAAATAAGAATTCAGATTGATTTTCTTGTTAATCTACTGTAATTGTTCTGTACTAGTGAGGTCTCTATCATTGGTATCAGAGACTGGCGATCGTAGGAGGAGATAGACGCGCGCAAATATGGAAGGGAAAATCAACGAAGTGCAAACGAAGATGGAAATAAGTCTGCGGGAGTTCCAGAGTAATATGGCGGAGAGCTTTGCGGCGTTACAAATAAGTATCGCGAATTTGGAGATAAACAACCAAAATCGATCGCGAAGCAGATCGCAGGCAAACGCATCGCATCATCGCGATTCTCATTATCGCGATTCTCATCATCCCGACTCTCATCATCGCGACTCTCATCATCGCCACTCTCATCATAGCGACTCTCATCATCGACATACGCGACTTTCGATCGACGCAGATGAACGGGAAGAACAGAGTCTTCCCAGAAGAACTGGAGAAGGATCGAGGAACATCAGGCATGCTCCGCTATCACCGAAGGAGTCGCAGACGAAGTCGCGAACTACCGATCACTGTTCACAGTCGCAGAATTCTTCGCATCGCTCTTGTCGCTCTTCGCAGAGTTCTGCTCATCACTCTTATCATCGCTCTTCGCATCAGAGTGCGCCTTATTCGTCTAAAGTCAATTCTCGGAAGTCAGCTAGTTCACAGACAGAGGAATTACCTCTATTCTATGAGGATGAAGCGTGCGAATGGATAGAGAAGATGGAAAAATATTTCAGAGTTCAAGCTATTGCAGAAAAATTCAAAGTGGACGTTGCAGAAGGGGCTATGGGGGAAGCCGCGTGTGGCTGGTTTAAATGGTGGTGGGAGTATCAAAAGAGGGAAGATAGCTGGAAGGCTCTAAAGGAAGATTTGATTAAGGATTTTCCACCTAAACACCGGCAGAAGACAGGAAGAACAGAAAGGCAAGAATCCCCAAGGTCACGAAGAACTTCTTCCAGTTCGCAATCAAGAACTTCTTCCAGTTCTCAATCAAGAACTTCTTCATTCAGTTCGCAGGAATCATCGTTAAGCAGGCAGCGAAAACAGGAGTCATCGAGGTCGCAAAGAACTTCTCGCTCACAAGTTTCTCAATCAGCACTAGAAATTTACCAGTCCACAAAGAAGACCCAGATGGAACCAACTGAAATTGTAATCAAGCAAGTGAATAAGAAAGACGAAATCAAGGAGAAAAGGCAGGTTATTCAAGGGTCAGATTATGTTTCTTCTAATCTTGCAGAGGATGTGGATTTAATTTCCAGCCAAGTTTCTATTGATGACAAGCTTATTCAACCATGATCTGTTAAAAATAGAGCCCAAATTGCATCTAAAACAGTTCTAGTCAAAAGTCAACTATCTTTACAGCCAAGAGAAAGGTCTTCAGAAAGATTATGCATTGGTAAAAATAGATCGGGTATAGAAGCTCAGGAGGAGGAGGTTAAGCTTGTTTCAGGAGGACCTGCTATCATTTTTGGAAACCGCAAACAGATTCATGATGCTGATAAGTCTAATCCTTTCCAACATCTTGGCAGAAATACATTGCAACCTGCAATCTTAAGTGTTAAAATCTTATCAGAAGCTCAAGGGATAGAATTACAGCTAATTGTTGAGAGCATGAGAAGCTGCCCCAAGCTTGGCCTACATAAACCATTGAAAGCATTAGAAGGATATCTAAATTTGGGAGACATCACTGCAAAGACTGTTCATAGCCTATCACTTCCTAATGTTTTGGACAACTTCACAAGAGTATTACAGAAGAGGGCTCTTAAGAGTTATCAGCAAGCTCTAGGCGAAGTTGTTGCACAAAAGTTTGTAGAAATACTCTATGGTAATCAGGTCCATTTTCTGGCAAGATCTTCTGAAGGGTCAGGAAGTTATCTGGGACAGAACAGCCTTGGTTTGTGGACTTATGGTCCTTTGGAAATTGTTACTTCCTTTAAATCGGCATTGGATATTCCTGCAATTCAACTGATGGGTGCATTACTCAAGGAGAATAAGCATGTTCTTAAAGAAGACATCCGGCTATGCAGTGTACTGGGACAAATGCTATTACTGTTTAATGATGGGGGAACACAGTATGATGCTAGTTCTCATGAACTTTCTAATGACATAAATGTGGATGAAGTTTTATACGAGCTATGCAGTGAGATGTTTTACTCAAGAGATAGGAAGGAGTCTGAGGGACATGCAATGTTGAGCATGATCAAGAGTTTCTCATCCAGAGGTCTAGAAGTCTGGGAACTTCTTATACCACCATCAGTGAGGTACTGGGAGGGGAGAGGCACCAGGAGGAAGCGGAGTTCCAGACTTGGTTCTTATCATCCCACCTTGAGAACAAGGTCGTTCTTTAGGGGGGGGGGGAGTATTAATAGGAACCCACTTATTAGACTAATAATAGAAGTAATAATAATAATAATATTAGTAATAAGGGTCTGTGAGTTTGCTAGTATAAATAGACGGGAAGGGGGAGTAATAAGGAGGCTTTTGGGAGTTTTGGACTGGGACTGGGAAAGATTAGAGAGTTATTCTCTTCTCTTTTGGGAGGCTTCGGCCTTTGTTTCTGTTTCTCTCTGTAACCGATCTTCTTCATCAAATAAGAATTCAGTTTGATTTTCTTGTTAATCTACTGTAATTGTTCTGTACTAGTGAGGTCTCTATCAGATGGCGAGCTTGTGTCCACGGGCAGTGAGATCATCGGCGGGCTAGCGGCATATTGTAGCAGTTTGCGGCACTTGGGAGGTTGTTGAAGTAGCAACCATTCAGGTTTGCAGCTTTCACGATAATCTGGTGGTTGAGAGGTTGTTTGGTGCGGGGCAAAAGAATGGGCATCTATGATCTGGGGTCAGGGAGTTTCTTGGTTCAATTCTGTGATGAGGATAACATCACAGGATTTTGCTCGATGGCCTGTGGTCATTTGAATAATTCTTGATTTGTCAAAAGCAGATGGAAGCAATGGATCTCCCACATGATGTTCCGATTTCTCATGCAGATTTCTGGACATAACATTCCCTTCAGCTTCATGATCAAGAAGGCGTGCATGCATTGGGAACTCCGTTTGATGTTTCGTGCCGATCCATTACTTGGTGGTGCATGAAAGGCTTCAATGAGAATCAGAGTGTGTCTGGGTGTGAGCTTACCCATTAAAAGACGCATGAAGCTCCGTCGGGGAGGACGGTGTGGACCTGGGTGGACTTGAAGTATCTGTGCGACTGTGCCCCAAAAATAGCTTTGGCCATTTCAGAAGAATATACATATGGGCAACGATGATTGATGAAAAGCACTTTTTCAATAAATATCTATAAACAATTAGAGCCTTTAGAATTGTGCATCTCAAAGTCATAAGTCATAATAGTGCATCTCAAATATAATGAAGAGAAAGATGCAGTATCAAAAGAAGTCTTTACTCATCAAATACTTACAAGACCACAGACATTGTGCACCGCAAAGTTCTCACCACAGCGTGAATCAATCATCATAACATGTTCTTCAGATATAAGCTTATGTTGGGTAAAAGGCCACCAGAAAATTTTGTGGGCCTTCTTTGGCATGTAATGCAGTCGTTCTATTCTTCTATGAGATGTTAAGCACATTATTTCCAGAAGACAACTGAATACAACCTGGGATTGATGAAACCATTCCATAAGATCATTTGACATTTCTTGCGGTATAGGTGGAAGCACAAGCACTGGGATGCTGCATGCCAAAGAAAGTAAAATAGTTTTCAACCTTTTGATCTCTTATTTAACCTGGTTTTTCTCTTACTTTCTCCCTTTTGACTGTTAATAAGCAGCGAGGATATTATAATGGAATACACACACACACACACCAAGGAGTGTTCATGTCAAGAACACTATTTGGTAAGGATGACCTCTTATATCACTTCAGGTAAGATTTTTTTTCATTATTATCAACTACTAAGGATGTTTTTACTTGGACTGAAATTTTTTGGTTGACCTGGTCTCGTAAATGTCTGGTCTATGTGTATTTTATATCTGTCCAAGTCATTTTGGTCTGACCAAGTCTAGGACTGAAAAACAGTCCAAGTAAAAACATCCCAATTTCAACTATTAGATTTTCAATTAGTTCAACAATGGACAGTAGAAACACACTTTCTCTCATTTAGAATTTATCTAAGGTTTAAGAATATTACACCTTTAGAATTGGAGTAATCTTCAGTAAAACGGAATTTTTGAAATGATCTAATTGTTGAAATTAATACGTGAATCACTTGATACTACAGTACTAGAACAACAAGATCCAAGCCTTAATCCCAAAAGAATTTGGGGTCGGCTAATATGAATCGATGTATGATATCGATGCCAAACAGAGAGACGGACAAGGAGGGGGGGGAAAGTAAGATAAAACGGATAAAATAAAGATAAATAAATACTACGTATAAGATAACAATAACTTGATACTACAGTACAATACAGTAGTATAGATGATTGTGTTACCAAATAGTGTTCTTGACATGAACACTCCTTGGTGTGTGTGTGTATTTTTTGGTCAGGTTTAGCCCCCAAAATTTATTTTTGGTATTTTCGTTGATTGTATTTACGAAAGGGTATCCCTTTCTAAAGAGGTTTTGGTTTAAGTCCCCCTCTTTTCTGTATTTTACTCTTTTATCAACTTGATACTACAATACTACCGAAGCAAAAAATATTGGACCGGCGAAGTAACTTTTGGTTAAAATTGTATGTGTATGACTTAATATGTGTTTCTGTATACATATACACATACCTATACATAATATATATGTGTGTGTATATGTCACCTATCAATAAAATATTTATTTTAATATAAATATATACATACTTTTCCATCATTTGCATTTGGAGCCAAAGACTCACTGTTTTTTGGCTTGAGAATGTGATGGAATAAAGCAAAATGACTCACTAAACTGTCTGCGCTTCATTGTTATGAAGTAGCAGTCAGTCCATGCAATTTTCGACGCGATATTCACCACGGGTCATCCGGAAACAGTCTCTCTATGCTTTAGTACATGGGTACGGTTGCATACATCTGACCACCCCCCTACCCCACCATTGGTGGGAGCTTTGCGGCATTGGGGTAATGATGATGATGAATATAAATATATACATACACAAACATGAACCTATATATGTATATACATTTATAACATTATTGTAGCAAGCCCATTCATGAAAAGCATTTTTATTTTACATGCATATGTGTGTGTGCGCGCGCATACACACATACATACAAACAAATACAGAGATACATATATAGATACACACACATACAAATATATATACATACATACAAATATATATACATGTATATACAATTATGCATACACACACATATATGTATACATATTTGTACATATGTATATATACACACACATATATATACATACAGAGATGACAAACATACATATACTCAGGTAGTCTAGTTCTATTAAAAGTGTTCTTTTCATGAAAAGAAAAGCATCGGAGCCCTTCAAATTGATGTGATGAATGGTTAGGTACTTTGATCTATTAAAATTAATGACCATTTAAGAATAAGTTTACTACAATTCAATGGTATAATATATATACACATATGTGTGCATATATAATGTCAACGATTCTTTTGAATAAACAATATGTTAAGTAATGTATTTTTTAACTAAGGATAAGAGCATATTCTTCTAAATAATATATAGAAGTATGTAATTAAAATTCATTTTAAATCTTTTACCTCTCCCTCAAGTATGAACGTAGTGACGCCTCATTCAGAAGACCATGGTCTTCAAGGACAATAGCAACGACATCATAACCACGAAGCTTTAGAGTTTCATACGCAGAAATTGTTGCAGAAATACCACCTAGTTTTCCATCCCCAACAAGAATTGCTGGCAAACGAAAAGGCCTGCAGAAGCATGTATAGGGATCAAACACCAGTCAGAGTAGTGTAAGCCTTGTTTCATTGGTAAAGTATATATGCATCTCATACCAAAACTGCAAAACTAAAATGCACAGAATGTGAAAAGGGCATTGAATGATTACAGACCGGTACAAGTCACATTGGAGTGAACCCGAGGGACCAGGACTGGCAACACCCCCAGCAGTCTCAATCACACACATCATATCCACATTTGCTCCACCCTGGTGAACCCATGTCTCTGAATGAACTCCTAAACAGCCTTTCAGCTTTTCTAACAATTCAATATCATCCACGGGAGCTCCTTCCTTCTCTGCAACCACATGAGGTGATAAAGCCTCTCTCCACGCATACAGTGTCTTACAAACAAGCTCTGGGACGTCCAATCCATCCCCATTCCCCAACAACTTCTTTGCGTGCCAACCCAGATTCACAAATCCGGCACCATAAGTCGCCGTGTTCAATAGCTCCTGGGATGCGGGGCCAGAGGCCCGGAGGACATGGTCAGAAGCAAGAACAGAGAATCCAGGACGGTGCAGAGAAACGAACTCGGTGAATTTTTGGTAAACAAAGCGGGAGTCGGAATCCAGAGGAAATCCAGTCTGGAAGGGCTTCAGGTAAATGAATTTCTTATCTGGAGCCGAGAGGAAGGATATGGAGAGGCCAGTAGAGACAAGTGTTTTCCCGAGAGATGTATTGGCGGCCCAGATAGCGTAAGTGGGGTGTGTCAGTGGGTATTCCACTTGGGTTGAAAGGAACCTGTTGTGGCGACAGAAGATTGTGGGAGAGAAGCTCCGGCGGCTCTGACGCTGGAGAGATGAGGTAGGAAACATAATGCCACGAGTCTAGTGCAGCGAAGGCTGTTTGTGAGCTAAACCCTAGTTTCCGCCACGACAGCCGCGGACGTGAATGCAAGTTGGCCGGCCATTGATGAAATTGGTTCCAATTTCAAATGACTGTTTAGCTCCGCAATTTGAACTAGGCAATTGAGCGCGGGACCTAGGTAGGATTCCTCTTAATCTTATTACTTATTCTTTATTCTTATTTTATTCAGATCAGATTGGATCAAATCAGAAACATTCAGATCAGATCAGGAACATTCAGATCAGATCAGGAACATTCAGATCAGATCAGAAAAGTTCAGACATGATTTATCCCTTTTATTATAATAATAATAATTATTATTATAATAATATTAATAATTATTATAATAATAATAATAATAATAATTAATTTATTATTATTATACTTGTTGTTATTGTAATTATTATTATTATTATTTTTATTATTATTATTATTATTATTATAATTATTATTAATATTATTATAATTATCATCATCATCATCATCATCATCATTACTATGATTACTATGATTATTATTATTATTATATTTATTATTATCATGATTATTATTATTCTTATTACTATTATGGTTGTTGTTGTTGTTAGATTTTTTTGTTCTTATTATATTACACGGAGTAATTACAATTAAAATTTTAGAAATAAATATTATCATTGTAATTAAAATTATAATTATAGAAATAATTATAATTAATAATATAATTACAATTATAATTATAGTTTTTTTTTGTTTACTCCAGGAGGCGTATGGTGGAGGGGGTCTGGGGGGCTGAAGTAAATTAGGTTGAAACTCATCCCATTGAGTTTCGAACCGAGACCTCCCATAAGGGAGAGTGAGTCGGCGACCAGCTGAGCAGGACCGCTTCCTCTAATTATAGCTATATTTATAACTAGTGTAATACATATAATAATAATTATACCTATTATAATTATAATTATAATTTTTTTATAATTATGATTATAATTACATTTAAATTATATATGTGTAATTACATTTCTAATTATAATAATTAAAATTAAAATTGTAATTATAATTTTAGAAATATTTAGATCAGATCAGGAACATTCAGATCAGATCAGTCAGATTCAGATCAGATTAGACCAGATCAAAAAGATTCAGATCAGATCAGATCAGATCAGATCAGAAAAATTCAGATCAGATCAGAACTTAAAAAATTCAGATCAGAAACATTTAGATCAGGTGAAGAGAACAGCTTCTGAAGCGCCAATTATGATTTTTCCAAACACACAATAGTATTATAAATATCAATTATGATTTGAGTACACGTTTTTTGTATGTTTCGTTTTTGGATGTTTTTATTTTGATTGTTTTCGGTCCTAGACCAGATCAGACCAAAACAGACTTATGATGTTTTCTTTTGAACTGAAATTTGATGGACTGGTTTGGCCTGGTCTGTTTAGAACTGATCTGGTCTGATCTGATAAACGTCTGGTCTGTGTGTATTTTATAACTATGAAAGTTTGGTCTGGTCTGGTCTGTTTAAGTCTGTTCTGGTCTGATCTGGTCTGTTTAAATCTGGTCTGGTCTGGTCTGGGACTGAAAGCAGTCCAAAAGAAAACATCCTTAAACACATCAAAATACACTAAACTTAAACAAATCAAACCAAACCAAATCAGACTTAAATAGACCCATTGTTCTAAAACACGCTAGGCGCTAGTCGGGCGGTAGAGGGGCGCCTAGCGCCTAGGCGGCCGACTAGGCCGATTTTTCGGCCGACTAGGCCGATTTTTTGGCCGACTAGACCGACTAGGACTCTACGGTTAGGGCCGCCTAGGCCGATTTTTAGAACAATGAATAGACCAGAACAGACTTAACTTACATAGTTATAAATACACAGAGACCAGATGTTTATCAAACCAGACCAAACCAGATCAGACCAGGCTTAAATAGACCAGACCAGCAAATTACAGTCCAAGTAAAAACGTCCACTTCGAACGAATTGTCTGTGCACAAATAATTTATTTTAGTTTTGTGAAGGAGATTATGTTTCGCGTTGAAATTTTTTTGTCTCCGGCACAAAGAAAAATTTTATCGAAAAAACATTTATCTTCCCAAAACGAAAAGACATTGTATGTGCACAGAAATTCGGTTGCACGTGTAAAACGACATGTACAAATGCCATTATCCTTTACAAACAGTGTTTATCTCTCAAAGAGAAAGTCGTAAGTTCGAGTCTCATCTCAATCAAAGATGTTGGCACTATCATGAGTGGATACTATAATAATTTGATATTAAATCATGATAATTTACCGATACCGTAGCTTACTGTACTGAAATTTTGGTATACCGAAACAAGGTATACCGAAATTTAGGTAAGAATATTTCTTTAAAAACTAAAAACAATTATTACTGCAGCAGGGATACTTGTAAATGAGAGGTAAGAATATTTCTTTAAAAACTAAAAAGAATTACCGCAGCGGGGATTCAATCCTGCATCGCCCCACTCGCATTTGAGGTAGCCTACCAACTTAGCAATACGAACTCTGTTAACTGCTACCACTTTGAGCTTAACATACGTGTAATATTCACTTTAGAAAAATGTATTTCAACTAATGCTTTATTGCTCTTACTATATTCATACATTTATTGTGAAATTTCATTATATCGTTTTATTTTTATTTTTTAAATGACTTTTTCTTGGATTACATAATATTTTTATGCTACTAATTATTTTTTGCACTTTAATGAACACACAATTGTAAGACTTAAACATGTAATGATTCTATTTATAGACTTAAAAATTTGTAATAATTTGACTTCTTAAATGTTAAATTGTAAGTTTCATTTTATATAATATTTTTAGTAATTTTATTTAATTGTTTCATAAAATCTTACAATTTACATTCGATTTTAAGATTCTACTAGTGTAACACCCGGGGCATGCCCCGGTAGTGTCACTTTGATAAATACTACTCTTTACAATACTACATCCATCCCATTTTATGTGTCTTTCTTTAGTTGCACACAATTATAAATAAAATGGTTAAAATTAAAAGTTGTAGTTGACATTTGAGTATAGTAAAGTGCAATTGTGACACTTATTTTAAGACAACTCAAAAAAAAAAGTAGGACATGTAAATTGAGATTTGAGACAGAGGAAGTATTAAATATTAAATAATAAATGTCAATAGAGACTGAGAATTTTTATAGAATCATGTATTGCTATGATATTAATAAAAACAAATTAATATGTATGCTAATATTTTGTTGAGGTATGAGAATGAATATTCAAAAGCTTTAATGTGCATTAGTCCTTGTGGGCTTGAAAATGAATGAAATTATTAATGATAAGGGACCAGAATCTGAATTAGCTAATTGCCTGATTGGTGTTTCGATGTGTGTAGTCTCAGAGTCGAATGATATTTAATCGATCTTACTTCTTCTTTTTTTGCAATTTAACAATTGCAAACCATTTTGCTCTAATTTTTAGCAATTTGGTTTGAAGTGTTAATTCCTGAAGTTAATTAATAAACAATAGGGAGTAATATTTTTTATTAACAAATTGGAACTACCATTCAACAAAATTGTTTTAGCGGTGTTATCTATTTTTGCTTTGATTTGAATAGTAACATCCAAATTTATAGAAATTGCTTTTGGGGCTTTATCTATTTTGTTTTGAATTAGGAAGTAACCTCCAGGTTTAAAAAATTGGAATGGATAGTTTTCTAGGTTCTTGTAACTCTCTCCAAAAGACTTCAGATGATTTAATTTTTCAGTTCTCTCAAATTGAGAGTTTTTGAAAGATAACAAATTAAATGATAATTTTAGCTGAACTCAAAATGAATATAAGTTTAGCTAATATACATTTTAAATAATTTTAATTGTGATTCCTTTGTAACCCCTCACCTTAAACTCCCAAGCATACCTTTAGATGTCTTTCATATAAAAAAATAAAGTAGAAATAAAGTAGAATTCAATTCAGTGCTCAAAATACTCCCTCCGTCCCAAAATTATCTTCATAGTTACTATTCACATGGTCAACTCAAATTACTCTTAATCTTTTACTGTATATATCAAATTTTTATCAAACTTAAATTTTCTTGATCAGGCTTTGTAGCGGTTTTAATGTAGTTTCTGAATATGTAAATTTTATTTATTACAAATAATCCGAGTGTGAACAGGGATCGAGTTGCTTTATCGTCAGTCAAGCATCGTAAACCGAACTATGAAGATAAATATGGGACGGAGGTAGTAGTTATTATCTAACCAATAAAAAATATATGAATTTGGCAATTACATCTTGAAAATATAATGTAAGTATATAATGTTTGATATAATAAAACTAAGTTATAACACAATATTGACGTAAGTGAAGTGATACCAAAAAAGTTTGTCAATATTGAAATTAGCTGAATTGTCCGAATCTGCTTAAATTGATGAAAATCAAATTGAATTAACTGAATGTGTTTAATTGTGAAAAAAATTAAATTTAAAATGTATTTTATTAGTGAAACAAAGATAAAATTATGAAATAATTATAAATTTATGACTAAGATAAAGAGTGTTCAGAAAAAATGTGACATCTTAAGTGTAGTGACTATAATAGTCATTTGAAATAGAAGTTCGTATGTGAGTATATAGCTAAAATCATATTAGTGACTACATCTTAAGTGTAGTGACTTTATTAGTGACTATGACATTTTGCAAAAATAAGTGATTATATTGTGACATTATACTTATAGTATCCTTAATCATATTACTGTAAATATGTTATATATTAGTAATATTTTCGAAAAACTATAAGTTTGTATGTGAGAATATAGCTAAAATAGTCATCTTCAGCAATATAGCTAAAATCATATTAGTGACTACATCTTAAGTGTAGTGACTTTAATAGTGACTATGACATTTTGCAAAAATAAGTGATTATATTGTGACATTATACTTATAGTATCCTTAATCATATTACTGTAAATATGTTTTATATTAGTAATATTTTCGAAAAACTATAAGTTTGTATGTGAGAATATAGCTAAAATTGTCATCTTCAGCAATTCCCTCCAATTCGGCTAGAAAAGTAACCCTAATCTTACTTATCTTGATTTTTACATAATTCAATTCGCGAAATAAAAAATTACATGTTTGATATAAAAACTGACAGGATAAGGTTGATAAGCCGAATATATAGGTTACCAATGAGCTTTTTATTTATGTATTAATTATTTGGTATGAAAGGAAGAAGAGATAGGAAGGAAAATAAATTACAGGATTAAGAGACTGTTTGGTGACTCTGCTTCTCAGCTAATCAGTCTTAGTAGTCAACTTTTTTACCAAACACGTAACTTTTGATTTCGCCCAATAAAATATTTAATAATAAATATAAGTAAGGTTGAAGTTATTTTTCTGACTGAATGAGTTGAAGTTACTGCAGAGAAGACTAATTTAGCTAATTTTATATAATTTTTCTTTATTCATTAATGAAATGTAATCAATCAATCACCATTTACCCCAGTGCCGCAAAGGCTCCCACCTACGGTGAGGTAAGGGGGGTCGGATGTACGCAGTCTTACCCATGTACTAAAGCACAGAGAGACCGTTTCTGGAATTGCGTCCACAATTGTATGGACTGACTGCTGCTTCATAACAAAGAAGAGCGGACAGTTTGGTGAGCCATTTTGTTTCATTTCATCATATTTTCAAGCCAAAAAATAATGTATCTTTGGCTCCATTGCAAATGATGGAAAATTAATGAAATGTAATAAAGTTAAAAAAAATCATTAATTAGCAGAATCCGCCAATCCATTCACTTCAACCAGAACTTCATAAATTTCAGTAGAATCAACTGATTTAACCAATTTTAGTGTCATCCGATGGACTTTAAGAATGCGAAGAAATTAATAAGTGAGTGAAGTTTTAGAGGCATATGATTAGGATTTTTTCTTTTGGGCTAAAACTTGCTGGTCTGATTTGGTTTGGTCTAGTCTATTTAAGTCTAGTCTAATCTGATCCGCTAAACATCTAGTCCATGTGTATTAATTTTATAATTGTCCAAGTTTGGTCTGATCTAGTCTGATTTGTTTAAATCTGGTTCGGTCTGATCTGTTTAAGTCTGGTCTGATGTGGTCTGGTCTGAGATTGAAAACAGTCGAAAAGATAACATTGTCTTGTATAATATGCATGGATCACTTGTTTTTCTTTTCGTGAAGGCTCTTATTTTTCATGTTTTTGTTAAAGAATTAAGTGTTGTACTACGTATGAATTAATATTAGTAGTACTTGGTGAAAGAGTCCAAATTAAAAATTATGACCGAACGAAGGAGCGTCTTGACTGCTATTGAAGAGTTTTCTTAAAAAAAATGCTATTGAAGAGTCCAAAACAAATGAATTATGTAGTATTAATTGATTCATTAAGTGCTATGTATCATAAAAGTTTTTTTTTTTTTTTTGAGAATTGTATCATAAAAGTTTTAATTTGTTAAATATGGAGTAATATATTTGTTAACCAATCATTGAATGACAGATGCACATTTTATAACTCAATTTTACTATATAAAACAATAGATTTTTAAATGCTCATTCCGATTCCATTCAAATATAACCCGTTTCATTCCTTCGGAAACTTGATCACGGGAAACAATAAAACAGTTCACCCGTTTCTGGCTTCAAATCAGCTGATTACTCGCTTCCAGCTTCTTCATTCACCCCCCATTTCCTCCGTCCATCTCTGTTCCCATCTCCCTGTTCGCTCAAACAAATCCTGTCGTTTCTGTTTGTGGCCGCCTTATTCCATCACCCGCCATCCAAGTCACCACCTAAAAACATCTATCGATTCCTCGCATCCGAGCCGGGAACAAGAAGAGGACCCAAGGAAACCACCACCAAGATGAGTAGCGATTAGGTTCAAACCGCACCGTACTCTCAAATCGCACCTTTGGTTCTGAGTTGTGGCAAATGTATCCAAGCCACAATTCAGGTTATGCATATGGTGTTGTCCATCGATGCCCAAAGACTCCAGCAAAACCAGGTTTGATTTCACATTATCAATTTTAATCAACTATTTCTATGGTATATAAATAGGTTTCTTATTCAATTTATCGACTTGATTAGTGTTAACTTTGAGTTAAAGTAGAATCCAGTTGCACAGAGGGAGAAAGTACAATCCAGTTGCAGTTGAAAGTAATGATAGCTCATATAACTATTTTACTCTCATTTTGTTGTGCAAAAACAATCACTGCATTTTCTTATCCTAAATTATACCCCGTAAATTACAGATCTTCTATGATTTTAAATATATGAAATGATATTCAAATTGCAAGATGTTAGATCCATTAAGGAGACTGTTCACACAGTTTGGCAATATAAAAGCTCTAAATGCAGTTTTTAAGATCACTTGCACTTAGTTTAAAGGTTTTGAGAGTTTCAAAAGCGCTATTCCAAAACATGGAGTTTAGCTCTACCAGTTACCAGATATAATTTTTAGAACGTTAGTGATTTCAATTGTTCACTTCCCAACACTATGATATTGTGTGTGAACCATTTAATGCTGTTAAACCTTCATTTTTAGCTATTTTTAGCTTTAATAGGTTCCTGGCAGATGTGTACGTATGTTTCTTTCTTTGAATAGCATTAAAAAAGTAACCTGCATTTTTCTTTTTTTAAATAGCACTAGAGAAACAAACTTGCCTTTAGTGTTGTAATTTTTTTGTCTATTAATATAGTTATATTGCAATTTAATATCTTTCTCATTGCATTTGCAGGGAAGAGAATGATAAAAGTCATGCTTCTTAATGAGAAATAAATTAGAAAGACATCCCTACTCTCCTAAGCTTTGTTGCAAAGCATACTTTTCGGTTAGTATGTTAAATCTGCTCAATAGTAAAAAAGATTTAAAAAATAATAATCACACTAAAACTCCGTAATTAACTATTTTCAATTGTACTTTGTAAAAAAGATCCTATTTCGGGACGGATCGGAGGGAGTAACCAATAACTTCCAAATTGTTTTGTTAAGTTAACATTTTTTTCGTCAACCGATATTAAAGTTAAATCATCAAAAACTTCCATCGGGAACAATCCCAATTAGAGACGGCCGGGCAGAACCTCCTATATAAGGGGCTAATTGAACACTTTAAGTCAGTTCAAGGGCCTATTTGACCCTTTAGCCAACAATTTATCATTCATTTCTATATGATTTTGCATACTTCAATATATGGTTTCATTCACCTTTTAGAGTACTATACATTAAGACTAGGTCCTACCACAAAATAGTTGTGGATACCTATTTATTTTATTAGCTCAAAGGTGGTCACTTTCAACAAAATATTTAGTGGACATTGACACACCAGAATAAGTGATACCGAAGACGGGGGCATAGAAGATATGAGCTCATTCAAAAGATGAAAGCGGGTGATAGATTTTGGTCAACAATTTCCCCTGCAGCATTCTATCTCGCCCTACATCCCAACTTAATAAAGTGGTGGATTGCCAAATCACATTATTATCTCCAGGGGCGGACCCAGGAAGTTTGTCTTGGGAGGGCGGTAACTTAAACAAAATATTTTTTGGGAGGGCGAAAATTATTTATATATATATATATATATATACACTAAAAAATTTAACACAATTCAAGAAGTACTTTTCCAAATACAAAATTTGAAGAGCAACAAACCGGTGGAGTACAGTGACCTCATATAAGACAACTTTTCCCTTGTATATCAAACAGGTACACCTAAAGACATCTCTTACTTAGCTTTTAACCTAGAATGTTGAACCACTGTGACCACAAAACCAGCGCTGCATGAATGTTTAAACATTTAATTAGAATTATAATGCATAAAAACTGAATTATTACAAGTATATTTAACCATATCAATGATAGCGAGCTTTAGCCTCATTCCCTATCTCATTTAATTGGAGATTTGGAGCTTGCGACTTGGTTGTATAATCCGGGAACCCACCTCTAAATCACGCAAACCAAATTGATAATCTCACATATATCCAACATTCACAACAATAGAGACATACAAGAGTAGACAAGAGCAATAATGGTGTATTGAATACACGAAGGATGAATGAGAAGTTACAATACAGATATCATATACTTCGTACTTAGCTAGGAAACAGCGGTCTCTCTCTCTAAGAAGATACATATATCATATACTTAAACAGCTTACGTGTTTAACTCAACTGTCTTACTAATCTAACTGTGACTTTAGCGACGAAGTAAACACCTCCTAAGTTGTTTGGGATAGAGCAAAATATTTTAAAAACCATCTAGTTCCCTCCTCCCCTGTTTACCCCTAAATAACATGCCTTACTAGATGGCATTGAAGGCTGCACCTCCTCCCCTGTTTACCCCTAAATAACATGCCTTACTAGATGGCATTGAAGGCTGCACAATTCGACATATAATTTCATAAATAATACTCCGGAGTTTTTTTCCGGAAGGAAGGTACTTTTTAATTTTATTTCCCAAAACAAGGTACTTTTTAAGTTATTTCCCAAACCAGGGTAGTTTTTGCCCAATCATCGAAATATAGACACTCATAAATAATACTCCGGAGTTTTTTCCGGAAGGAAGGTACTTTTTAATTTTATTTCCCAAAACAAGGTACTTTTTAAGTTATTTCCCAAACCAAGGTAGTTTTTGCCCAATCATCGAAATATAGACACCATGTTAGCACTCGTGTGAAATCTGCATTCTGTAATATCACGTCATTGTTTGAAAGGATATCCACGTCACTTTATTCATAGTTGCAATTAAAATTAAAAGAAAGCATGGTTGGAATCCAACCTGCACCATTTGATTTCCTAACCGTTTATACCTCACCCACTCCACTAAGTGAATTTCATTGTCACCTTAATGTTGTCATATATATTTATTCCGTTTTTGTCTAATATAGTGTCAAAGAGTTTCCCCATCTCCTACAGTAGCAATAATAACAAAATAAAAAAAATTATAAACTCACCAACAACATACCTTTTTTTTTAAAGACACTACATAAGGCCTTCCAATACATCCATCATTAAAAAATGAGTGCAAAAAATTATTAAGAAAAAACAGAGTTCTCTTATTTTAAAAATAAGAGCATCTCTACATGACAAAGTTTTGACCAAAGCACCGCAACATATAATAGTAGCAACCACAAAGTTCTGTCCAAAACACCACAACATATAATAGTAGCAACCAATACATCTATATCATCCAATAGAAGAATACCAACGATTACAAATAAACAAAAACAAAAGAGGTCTCTAATATTAAATGAGCATCTCTGCGTGTAGAAGTTCTCCGCAAAGCACCACAAGTATTGGTCTCAAAACGCTCATGTCATGATCCCGTTTATCACCATCTACACATAAATAAAATTAAGTGTGACCATATTTCATACATATATTAGAGATATGTAATTTAGGATATGAAACTGTAGCTGGATATGTAATTTAGGATATGTAATTTAGAGATAACAAAGTAATTATATGAAACCGTAGCTGGAATCTCGCAACTTCAGCACGGGAAGGAATAAAAGGCTCCATAATTGTATTTGTGAAGAAAGGACTTTTAATTTTGTGAATATAAAGTGACCTAAATCTAAGTGGTTAAATAAACTTTGGAATGCTATTTTAACATACTAGTGTGGTGGCCTGATGGTGTGATTCGTGATTTGCTTAACGAAGTGGCGAGGGATCGACCACCCTAAGCCTCTTATCATTTTTGAATTAAATAAAAAAGAGATCTAGAATTGCCACGTGGTCCGAAAATTGACATGGAATTAATGACGTGGATATTGCAGAATTCAAATTTCACACGAGTGCTGACATGGCACCTATATTCCGATGGCAAATTATACTGTGCAACCGGCATACCATGTTGCAATACGGTGTCATTTTACATAACAACCCCAACAATATAGCGCACACTAGCTAGCACTTCCCCTCCCTCGTTTATTTTTTTTCCTTCTTTCTTGTCGTACACTCCACTTATCTTTCCACCATCGTTTTTTTCATTCTATGTGTGCTTTAATTTTTTCATTATCAAAAGCAATCATGTTTCTAAATAATTTTTTTAATTTTAGAAACAATGATGTATGTATTACAATTTTGAGATTAAATTTTCATCCTTTCAAAAGAAATGTATTATGTTTTTTTCGTCAGTCCTTATTCATACACTTTTTTTTTCCTTTTTGCTTCAACTTAAATCACAATAAAAAATCAACTTATTTTTTCTTCAAAATAAATAATTTTATATTTTATACACTTGTATGATTTATATTTCAACATGTGTGAGTAGTGTTTATAGACAATTTTTGGAATTACATTTGATAGTATATGAAGTTACATCTTCTTTTGCGCGAGTTACATATGTTTATGCGTTAGTTACATCTTAATGTACTCGAGTTACACCATGGAATAGACCCTGCTAATGATCAAAAATGTTTTTTTAACTATATCATTTTTATAACCCTGATATTAAAAAATCATATTCACTATTTACAAAAAGTAATTAGGCAATTAACATCAATTTTTAATTGTTTACATTGAAATCAATGTTGATAGTATACATAAATATTTTTTTTTCTTTTCTTATATGTATGTATGTAATTATGTATATATAAGATGCTTACATTTCAACTTTTCTAGACTTACATTTTAATGTACGCGAGTTATATATCTTAATGTAAATGAGTTACACCACTAAATAAACCATGCTAATGATAAAAAAAATTAACTAAATCAATGTTTATAGCCTTAATATTAAAGATTCAAAACATATTCACTATTTTTAAAAAGTAATTGGGCAATTAGGATCAATTTTTTCATTGGATACATTGAAATCAATGTTTTCCCCCTTACATTCCGTTTTTGACAACTTACATATCAACTTGACTCAAGTTACATTTCCTATCAACGTGACTACGTGAGTTACATATTTGTAAACGGGAGTTACACCACCCTGCTACTGAAACACAAAAAAAAATTATTTTTCATCCGCGGCTACTGTTCATCCACGTTTTACTCCTGGGAGCATGATGCTCATTGTGCGCCGGTACCACGGTATAGGACCTCTATTCCGATGATTGGACAAAAACTACCTTGGTTTGAGAAATAAGTTAAAAAGTATCCTCAGGAATAAGATTAAAAAGTACCAGGGAAAAACTCTAATACTCCGCGAGTGTAAATACATATGCATAGATTTTTGGAATACATGTACACGCCTCCCTAGATCTGGCGATATGTGCTTTGATACCAACAATATTCCAACCTAAAAATGCTTTAATGCCAACTACTCGGGACTTAGGTTTATATTTTCATGATGTTTCCTTAGTTGAATGACTTAACATATATGCCAATACAAGATGCAAAGGTACCTGAACATCGAAAAATTTGATGTAGAAACGAGAGCCATCGATGTAAAGTTTTTTTTGCAGAATTTCAGCAATGGTGGAGCTGAGTTTTCCGTTAACGCTAGGCCCAAGTCCTCCGATAGACATCAATTCACCGTAGGCAGCAGGTGCTTCGGTGCCTGAAAATGCGATGGGCACACTCCCGTTCAGCAGGATCACCACATACTGCAAAAAATGATATTCTGCTGAGGGGAAATTGGTCGAACACTTGGCAGACAATGCACTAACAAATACAGTCAACAGAAATGGAGCTTACGGACTCGGGTTTCCCCATGATTCTTCCAACCGCTTTAGTAGCGTCTTTGAGAATGTCAGAAGCTACAACGGCGTCGACCGGGACGTTGGTGAAGAGACTCAGGCTCAGACTCGGCATGCGATGCTTCCAATCCAAATTTCTATGCGATTGGGATTTGGGGGCAACAATTACAATAACTTTGCACGAACGGCCCAAAAGTGCTCAATTGCACTTTGTTTTATCAAAAATCTACTCTCCAATGCAAATATAAAGGACTAATTGAGTTTGCCCTCTATTTTATTGGTCAAATTGGATTTTGCATCCTGTTGAGGTTTATTCCTTCAACCCTTGGATCCAACACGTAAGCCCAAAGATTTCGAGTGGAGTAAGTGTAAGGATATCTAGCCCAACAACTATGAGATGGATCGGGAAACAAAAGTAATAGCAGGCAATGTAAATAGGTATTATTAACTTCGTAATAACTCCCCTAAGTACAATCTACTTGCTAAAAAGGGCACGTCGGCCGTTCGTCTTACAAGGCAGTAGAGATGCTGCGAGTAAGAATACAATAGCCAGAATGCTAAGAATAGAAAGTTGCCAACCCTTTACAATGAAATAAATGCTTCTATTTATACCCACCAATGGGCAGGTGGCTGTACTGACGTGGCAGCCTGTGGACCGCTGGTGTCCCAACTACCAAATCTTCAGCATTAAATGCACTTCCCGCCAGAATCTAGGTTTCCCGCCTGATTAGTGGGGACGTTCGTCCTCCCGGGAAGTGAGTTGGATTGCTCCAAGTGACCCTCGAAAGATATCGGCTGTTCGTCTCCTGGCCTTGTAGATATTCACCATGTGAACTGGGTCCCCTCCGATGACTACAGGCTTGCCCCGGGGACGCTCATCGCCATCCCTGGTGGCCCGTGGTCCCGCTCCTTGTCCCCGCACAGCCGTTCGTCGAGATGAGTCTGCTGGGCCTGAGCCCCCAACATCAGACGTTCGTCCATCCTCAAGGGACATGGGCCTATGGGCCGGCCTGGTGTTCTAACTGGACGTGCGTCTGGCAATATGGGTTAGTGGGCCGGACCTCGGCTTGGGCCCTTAACCCAACACAAGTCCCCCACTTCTGATGTTCTGGGCTCGCGCAGGACATAAGGAAGTAGGAATCCCCTCAAGGTAGACGTTCGTGTCTTGATACTTTGTGTTTTCTGCACCCGTGGGAAGCGTACGCTCGTGGTCATGGTGCTTGACAGCTGTCGACGGTTCAGGAAACGAGGTGACGGCTGATGTTGCGGCGGAGCATTTCCCGAGGAAATGTCATCATTACGTTTTTGCCCCACGCACAGCGCGTGGCCGGAATACGCTCCTTGCCACGTGTCAGCCCCTCGTTGGCTCCCCCATCGGTGTTTTCTCCTTTAAATGCCGGGTTTTCCCTCTGAATTAGGGTTCCCAATTTCTGCTCTCTTGCTCTCGATTTTCCGCAGCTCTTCAAGTCTTCTTATGAATCCGGCTAACCCCTTTGTAAGGTAATTTCCCCCCTCTGCTCCTTTTCTTGTTCTGATTCTCAGCCGAAATGACCTCGATGGAGATTTCGTCAAGCTCTGATTCCGGTTCGTCGGGTTCCTCCTCGGGCTCCTCTTCGGTCGATGTGAGTGCTCGCTCCCCCGGGAAGGCCAGCATTTCCGGGACCTCTGGTTCGGCCACGACGGTGGGGACCATCCGGGCTGATGGCGAGCCGGATGATGTGTCTCAAAGTAGTGGGAGCGGCGCCGGGGACGGGGGCGCCGACGGGGCAGTAGATGTTATTGACGCAGTCCCCCTGAATGAGCGTCCTGCTGATTATGATTCTGGAGAGGAGGCCGAATCCGGTTCCGATATGGAGGTGTATGACCTGGGCATCCCTACGGATATGGAGCGCCACATCTGCCCGATCAGGAGCGCCCTTGACCATGACCAGGTCCTCTCCCGTGTGGCCCTCAACAAAATCCGCACCTTCTTCCCCCCGCCGTCCGTCTGGAGCGTGAGGGGCGCTGAGCACGTGATGAGGAGACGTCCAGGGATGATCATGCTTCACTTGGACTCCGTCGAAGCTGGGCTGCGGTTTCCCCTTCACGCATTTTATGTGGAGTTCTTCCACTGCTTCCAAGTGGCCCCGGCGCAATTCATGCCAAACTCCTATAGGTTCATATCGGCCTTCTTGGTGCGCTGCAAACTTGCGGGGGTCGAAGCCAGCCTGGATCTGTTCCACTACTTTTACCGGATCACTCCCCAGAACTCCGACGGATATCTGAGCGTGGCCGCTCGTCCGGGGAGGAGGCTTTTTAAGAGCTACCCCTCCTCCATCCATGACTGGAAAAACCGGTTCTTCTTCCTTCGCTATGATGGTCCTCCCCTCCCAGTTCGTTGGAATGGCTACCCCCCGAAGATAGAGTCGCCGGAGTTGACCGACGATCTGAGTGAGGCCGTGGAAGGCATCCTGCAGGGCGGCATTCGCCCCATAGCTGGCTATCTGACCTTCGAGGCACTCTCGGGGGCAGGCATAGGTACCAGCCCGTGTCCTTGGACTCCTTCCACCCTTCGACGCTCGTCTCAGGGCACCGGGCGGTCCTGTCCTTCGAGGTGAGTGTCTTATTGTATTCCCCGCTCGTCTTTTAACCCTTTGTGGTTTCTTGCAGGTTCCCCGCCAGACAGAGACCAGATGAATCACGCCGAGTGCCTGAAGACAAGGAAGGCCAAGGCGGCTGCTGCTAAAGCCGCACAGGCGAAGGCCAAAAACGCCCCCGCCTCGGAGTCTAACTCCTCGGCTTCTGATGCTGCCCGGCGAACAGCTGAGGGTGAGCAGCATTTAATCGCCACCATGCTGGCTCAGGGTTCTGGGGCCCCTGCTCTTGAAGCTGCCCTTCCGCCGCCGGTCGTCCCTTCGAAGGCGGTTCCTCAGAAGGGGACGGAGAGGGTCCCCGAGAAGAAGCAGAAGAGGGGCCGTGAGGCAGGCTCCACTGGCCCCCTGCTTGAAGATGCCGGCTCTCTGCCATTGAGCCGCCCGGCGGAAGAGCTTTGGAGGGAGATGGCCCTCAAGGCCGGTCTCGAGCTGCCCCCCCCGTTCGTCTTCCGAGGCGACCAGTGCTGCCCTGGCAGCCGCTCTTCAGGTAATTTCTCCTTGCTAGATCCGAGTACATTTTTTCCTTGACGTTCATCCCCTGACCATTGCTTTCTCTTCTGTTATCCAGTCTGGGCTTCTAGTCCTCCAGGCTGAAGCTGCCAGGGAGGCCGATCTGAAGGAGGCCAAGGCCAAGGCTGATGCGGCCGTCGCCACAGCCCGGGAGGCCGCTCGTCGAGCCGAGGCGGAGGCTGCAGCCAAGGGGAGGGAGATTGCAGCCCTGCAGGCTGAATCCCGCAGCCAGCTGGCCGGCCTTGAAAGAGCCGGTTTCAAGCTTGTTCCGGTGCTCCCTGCTGCCAAGGATGCCACCCCGGAGTGGTTGGTCGACACCTCCGGCTACAGGAACACCGGGGAATTCATGGATTCCGCCAAGGATTATTGCGCCGGGGCCTTCGGTGATGTGTTCTCTGCGGCGCTGGCGAAGATCCCACCCCCGGCAGCGTCTGGCGAGCGGGGTCCGGATTCTGGAGAGCTCCCCTCTGTCCCACAAGTTCCTCTATGAGGTCGGCGACAGCACCTTCGCCGCCGGCTACAACGAGGGGGTTAAGGCCACTCTCCCCATCTTCTCGAGGTTGCAAGGGGCTGATTTTGAGCTGGCTGCGAACACAGATGATGATCTGCTGCTTCAAGCCCTGGGGAAGCTGGGGAGGGACCAACGGCGGGCGGAAGCAAAGGCCAGAGGGGAGATTCCGGAACCCCCGACCCCTGAGCCCGAGGCCGAGGAGGAAGAGCAGACTCCGGGAGGCAGCCGGCCTGGGTCCCCTTTCTTTGTATAATGTAAATTGTATTTTCCCATTCATGCTTTTGTAATGTCCGGCCGTTAGAGCCGAAGAATATACATGCTCTTTTGCCCAAAATTATCTCTACGCTCGTGATCTTTACTTCACATTTGTACTTTTGTTGTATGGAAACTCCCCTTGTGTTTCGATATTCTCTGTTGCATAGTCTGCGTGGACGTTCATCTCTGTTCCCCACTTGGTTTGGGGGCATGGGCGTCTCTTTGCCAAAACCCCGTACACATTATTGCGCGGCGCCAGTGTTAAGGTCCGTCTTCGGATGGCGACACCCAGCGTCGATGCCGGCTGCCTCTCTTGCACAGCATCCTGATGGCGAGACGACGTTCGTCGGGGGTTGGCCAAACAGCACACTTTGCAAGTGTGGTTATACGCACGTCGGAGATTGCCTCAATGCTTGCTAACGACGTTCATCTACTGCCGCGCGGCATAAATGCTAAGGCTTTCGAGCAAGGATGTCCGTCTGTCCTGCATGTTCAACTGGCATGGAGTGTGGAAAGGCGACGTTCATCCTCCGTGCGTCCCCTAAGGACATGATTTTATTTTATCATTTCGTGTCCTCCATCGTTTGTAGCATAAGAAATCCTTCCGGCGCCTCGACACACATCTGTCGCACGGCGTCCTCCTACCGAGGCCGGCTTGCCGTCCACACGATATTCCGACAATGGGAAGACGCTCGTCGGTAGCTGTCTTGACAGTACGCTCTTCTCAAGTATGGACGTACGGACGTATTTCCCTGAACCAGCGCCCGGTGACGACGTTCGTCGACGGTTGCGTGACATGGAAAACCGGGGTACCGCAAGACGAACGTAACCGGTTATTGCGTGTGTCCTCATCAGCCGCCGGTGTTAGGGACAGCCGGAGACTTACGGAAATACGGAAAGACAATGTCTCCAAATCCCGCCGAGCCGGTAAGCCCTCTTCAAGGGACGTCCGTGGCACGGACCCGGGTGTCCTTGTGGCGATTATGTGGCGCCGAAATCGAGGTGCCTTAAATGCCGTGGTAGGTACCGGTATTCAGGCGCCACGTGTCCTGCTTCGGTTGGCGAGACTCCGCGGTGTCGCCTATAAGTACCCAGAGTCCATGTGATCCACTCACATTTCTCCTTACGCTGCACAATTGTCTTCTCTCTCTCTAGACCTCTCTCAAACCGTGTCGGAAATCTCGAACCCAAAAGGTACCGTTCGTTGTCATGTCTTCCGAGAGTCGTTTTGACGATGGATGTTCCTCCGGCGATGATTTGGAATATTATGAGCGGGGAATGCCACCCCGGCCTCCCCGTTATAGCCTCAGCTTCTCG